AATCTTTCTTGACACTTTCTCTTGACACTCTTGCTTGACACTCTTGCAGGACACTCTTGCTTGACACTCCGCTAGACACTCTTGCTGGACACTCTTGCTTGACACTCTCTCTTGACACTCTTTGCTAGACAATCTTTCTTGACACTCTTTGCTGGACACTCTTTGCTAGACACTCTTGCTTGACACTCTTGCTTGGCACTCTTGCTGGGCACTCTTTGCTGGACGCTCTTGCTTGACACTCCGCTAGACACTCTTGCTGGACACTCTTTGCTAGACACTCTTGCTGGGCACACTCTGCTAGACACTCTTGCTGGACACTCTTGAAATGACATTCTGCTAGACACTCTTTCTTGACACTCTTTGCTAGACATTTTGCTAGAAAGTGTAACGCAGACAAAGTCCTGCCAGGTATGTCACTTTCCGACGTGGCAGTCTCCACAACGAGCGTTTCGTACGAGACTTCCTCCAAAAGTCACGCGTCAAGTCTCCAAAACAAGCGTTTCGTACGAGACTTCCTCCAAAACGACCGTTTCGTACGAGACTTCCTCAAAAACTCACATGTCAAAGTCTGCAAAACGAACGTTTCGTCTGCAAAACGAACGTTTCGTAAAGTCAAGCGGAAACACCCATCGGAGCACACCATCGCGCAGCCCTGACAAGCAGTTTCGCGATTCCAGCCCCTCCTAACAACACTCGCTCACACGCCAATCCCAATGTCACAGCGACATTCACCTCTACCGCAACTCACAACCTCACGATTCCCTGCGCCCGCCGCGAATCTTTCCACGTCCACACGTCTAACGCGCGCAAAGTCAAAGTCCTGCGCCTGCCACGAAATGTCACCTCCGTCACACATCAACCTCACGATTCCCTGCGCCTGCCACGAAAATCGCACTTCCACACCTCCAAGCCCGCACAAAGTACTGCGCCTGCCACGAAAAGTGACAATGTCATCTCATGTGAGCTTCAACAAAACTTGCACCACACCACACGTTTGGAATGATTTCGGCGCGTTCTGAGCACACTCCCATCCACCAAAATCAACATTTCAGCTGAGACTTGTCACGAAAACAACGGTTCGGCGCCACACCCTGAAACGCAAACCCCAATGGCGCGGCCACATCCAACACCCCAAAAACACGACTCTCCAAACGCTAATCCCAATGGAACACCGACACAAGCGTGTCACTTTCACGAAACCCTGCGACATGTCACTTTCAAGCAAATCACAATGTAATAGCGGCGCAAATTGACACGTGACACATCCATAAAAAGTCACTTGCAAAAGCTTCTCCCAATGGCAGGGCCATAGAGACATCATACGGACGGTTGCGAACTCGAAAACAATGTCGGGCAAACACAGCTCTACCCTCAGACTCCCAAGTTAAACGAGAACCCTTCGCCACGCATTCGGGAATAAGAAAAAGCCAGCAATTGCAAAACATATAGTTTGAAACGGAAAAAACACGCAAGTTGCAATTGAAAACAAGATGGAACCCACGAACCCGAATGCAAACACGTTCCAAATGCCCAAATGACACTCCTGTAGGACACTTTAGTGGGACACTCTTAAGTCACTCTTACACGACACTCTTGTAGGACACTTCTTGTGGGACACTCTTATGGGACACTCTTGTGGGTCACTCTTATGGGACACTCTTGTCGGACATTCTTGTGGGACACTCTTGTGAGACACTCTTGTAGGACACTCTTGTGGGTCACTCTTACAGGACACTCTTGTGGGACACTCTTGTGGGACACTCTTGTAGGACACTCTTGTAGGACACTCTTGTGGGGCACTCTTGTTGGACACTCTTGTAGGACACTCTTGTAAAACACTCTTGTTGGACAGTCTTGTGTGACACTCTTGTAGGAAACTCCTGTGGGACACTCTTGTAGGACACTCTTGTGGGACACTCTTATAGGACACTCTTGTGGGACACTCTTGTGGGACACTCTTGTAGGACACTCTTGTGGCTCACTCTTGTAGGAAACTCTTGTGGAACGCGCTTACAGGACACTCTGGGGGACACTCTTACGGGACACTCTTGTAGGACCCTCTTGTGGGACACTCTTATAGGACACTCTTGTGGGTCACTCTTATGGGACACTCTTGTCGGACACTCTTGTGGGACACTCTTGTGAGATACTCTTGTAGGACACTCTTGTGGGACACTCTTGCGGGACACTCTTGTAGGACACTCTTGTAGGACACTCTTGCGGGACACGCTTGTGGGACACTCTTGTGGGACACTCTTGCAGGACACTCTTGTGGGACACTCTTGTAGGACACTCTTGTGAGACACTCTTGTAGGACACTCTTGTGGGACACTCTTGCGGGACGCTCTTGTAGGACACTCTTGTAGGACACTCTTGCGGGACACGCTCGTGGGACACTCTTGTGGGACACTCTTGTAGGACACTCTTGTGGGACACTCTTGTAGGACACTCTTGTGGGGCACTCTTGTTGGACACTCTTGTGGGACACTCTTGTAGGACACTCTTGTGGGACACTCTTGTAGGACACTCTTGCGGGACACTCTTGTGGGACACTCTTGTAGGACACTCTTGCGGGACACACTTGTGGGACACTCTTGTGGGACACTCGGACACTCTTGTGGGACACTCTTGTAGGACACTCTTGTGGGACACTCTTGTGGGACACTCTTGTGGAACACTCTTGTAGGAAACTCTTGTGGGATACTCTTGTAGGACACTCTTAAGGGACACTCTTGTGAGACACTCTTGTGGGACACTGTTGCGGGACACTCTTGTGGGACACTCTTGCGGGACACTCTTGTTGGACAGTCTTGTAGGACACTCTTGTGGGACACTCTTGTAGGACACTCTTGTGGGACACTCGGACACTCTTGTGGGACACTCTTGTAGGAAACTCTTGTGGGACACTCTTGTAGGACACGCTTGTGTGTGATCTCTTGTAGGACACTCTTATAGGACGCTCTTGTGGGACACTCTTGTGAGACACTCTTGTGGGACACGGTTCTCTTGTGGGACACTCTTGTGGGTCACTCATACGGGACACTCCTGTGGTACACTCTATCTGGGACAGTGTTGTAGAACACACGCTTAGACGAGCGTTTCGTGCGAGACTTCCTCCAAGAGTCACACATCAAGTCTCCAAAACGAGCGTTTCGTGCGAGACTTCCTCCAAATATCACACGTCAAGTCTCCAAAATAAGCGTTTCGTACGAGACTTCCTCCAAAAATCACACGTCAAGTCTCCAAAACGAGCGTTTCGTACGATACTTCCTCCAAAAGTCACATGTCAAAGTCTGCAAAACGAGCGATTCGTACGAGACTTCCTCCAAAAGGCAAGCGGAAACACCTATCAGAGCACACGCATCACGCAGCCCTGCCAAGCAGTTTCACGATTCCAGCCCCTCCAAACAACAAAGGCCCACACGCCAATCCCAATGTGACAGCGACATTCACCTCTACCACAACTCACAACCTGACCGATTCCCTGCGCCTGCCACGAATCTTTCCGCGTCCACACGTCTAACGCGCACAAAGCACTGCGCTTGCCGCGAAATGTCACCTCCGTCACACCTCGCAACCTCACGATTCCCTGTGCCTGCCACGAGAATCGCACTTCCACGCCTCAAAACCCGCGCGAAGTACTGCGCCTGCCACGAAAAGTGACAATATCATCTCATGTGAGCTTCAACAAAATTTGCACCACACCACACGTTCGGAATGATTTCGACCCGTGCTGAGCACACTCCCATCCACCAAAATCGCCATTTCAGCTGAGACCTGTCACGAAAACCGAGCTTCGATGCCACACCCTGAAACGCAAATCCCAATGGCACGGCCACATCCAACACCCCTAAAACACGACTCCCAGACGCTAATCCCAATGGAACTGCGCAGCAATCTGCGGATCTCACAAAACGCTGCGCCTGTGCAGCGAAATGCATCACGCTTCTTGCGCGACATGTCATTGTCATGCAAATCACAATGGAATAGCGGCGCAAACTGACACGTGACACATTAGCGCTCTACTGCGAACACCTGCGGACGGTTGCGAACGGTTGCGGACGGTTGCGAACATAGAAACAACGGGTCGCGAACAAGGCTCTACCCCCAGACCCCCAAAGTTAAACGAGAACCCTTCGCTACGCATTCGGGAAAAAAAAGGTACCTGGGTGTAACCACGCCAGCTCAGACAAACAAACAGAAGAAAAAACCTGGGTGTAACCACACCAGGTCAGACAAATAACACGATAGCTGGGTGTAACCACGCACAAAGACCAACTGTCGGGAATGAGAGCACATAGGCAACACAAATGCGAAACATATCACTGTAAACGAACAAACATGCAACTTGAAATCGCCAAAACAAGGAAACAAACTCTACAGTATATAGTTCTAGATGCCTAGAAACAAGAGTCTGAAGGCTACAGAGACCTAGAGGTCGGGAAAGCGATCGAAGTAGAGACTATGCGAGATCTAAAGACAAAACTCGTCAGCACTGCAGAAAGAGAAAGACAGCGAACGCAAAACGAAAGCCTGCAAGCAGAACAAGAACATACATGCTGTTTGCTGTTGCTTCTCATACAAGTTCAAAATGCAAAGAGAAAAACACAAAATGCAAAACGACTTAATTCGAACAGGTCAATTGCACAAAAAAAAGGGCACCTGAATGTAACCACGCCAGGCCACGCGCAGAGATGATCTGTGGCACATGAGAGCTGAGAGTACGTACGGCGCACTTGCATACCTGGGTGAACCTACGCCAGGTAGCGCGCAAAGGAGAGCACGCGTGTGAGAGCACCCATATGAGAGCACAACCTCGAGAGAGCACACATACACAGCGCACGCGCGCGAGACCGCCCATATGAGAGCACACGCGTGTATGAGAGCGCCGCAAGGCAAACACGCATAGGAGAGTACACAGGTACTGCGCAGTGCGATCCCTTGCATATGTAACCACGCCAGACTACGCACAGAGATGAACTGTCGGGAATGAGAGCACATAGTAATAGGTAACACGTGCAAATGCAAAACATCGACTTCAAAAAAAACATTCAATTCGAAATTGCTCTCTAGTCGACAGAGGTCTAGAGGTCGCGAAAGCGATCCAAATAGAGATTGAAAGAGATCTAGATACAAAACTCTATGCCTAGATCCAGATACTTAGTTGTAGAGGTCTCCAGGTCTAGAGGTCTACAAATCTAGAATTCGAGAGAGCGATTTGAAGGTCTATAGAGATCAAAGGAATCAAGAGATCTAGGCCGAGTGCTTCGATGCAAGTGGTCTTAAGATCTAGATCTAGGTCGCGAGGTCCAGATGTCTAGCGTTCTAGAAGTCGAGAGATTTCAAAAGATCTCTGCTAAAGGCCTAGAAGCAAGAATAATAGTCTCAGGGCTAGAGTCTAGAGCTTGAGTGCAAGAGCGCTTCCAAAAACAACATCAAGATACCAAGACGCAGCGAAAGCCGCGAGACTTCCCCCGCTTTCTGAAAACGAACCACATGTCCAAAAGTCACGATTCACTGCACCTGTCACGAAATCAGAGCACGTCGAAGATTACCACCATGTCCAAAGTGCTGTGCCTGCCACGAAATCTACACATCGAAGTAAAACCGCTCCGATCCCTTGCACCTCTCACGAAAAGTCGACTTTGGACCACCAAAACACGAAATGTACGACTGTAAATAGCAACGAAATAGCCGCACGCCGCGATGCAACACCTCGATTAAACACCGGCCTTTAACAACTACCGTAAGAACCCCTAGTTTGACCACACTGTTTGGGGAAAACAGACTACAAATTCGGGAAAAACTACATCACTGCCTCATACTGCCGCAGAGTCCGACTACTTGCCCCATATGTCAGGCCATTTGAAGTCTCGCACTGGAACCATGTCAGGCTCACTCTTCGCATTTGAACTTGATGTTTTCATCCACCACCAATTTCCTGGTCAGTGACACGACGGGAGCTGACTCGACCTCCATTCCTCTGAATATCCTGAATATCCACTTACTTGGGCTGCAGGTGTGACCCTACCACTGCCTGTAGTACGAATTGCCAATCCTCACGACTTCAAACTTTGGATCCTAGCACGGGCTGTTGGTCTCGTAGCTTTGAGTCATTCACCGCAGCTCACAAGTGTTTTCCTCCAGTCATATGAACAAACATACCTGACCGGACCTACCTAATTACCAGTCTTTCTTCTTATATTCACAGGGGTTCGAATGCCTGCTCATGCTCCCCTCCTCAAGATTTTGCGCCAATGCCATGGCAATTCAAACAAGTTATGTCTTCAATACCATCAGGGTGCCCTTAAGCAAGTGTTAGCTGCTTCTGGGCTTTGTCATGGGTATGCTGACCTTGGGCAAGCCATGATAGTCACTTACTTTCTTGGCAAGAAAGGTCACCAATTCATGATGAAAGCCAAAGTTTGTGAAGTCTCGCATTTGTGAAGGGATGAAGGGAAGGGCTTGAGCTTGCTGGAGAATTTGAACACTCCTCCGCAATTTCTTGATACTCTGTGGGTGGAGTCCGAGCTGTTGCGTGGACCCGGAAATGCTAGAGGGCAAGTGAAGCTGCAGCAAGCAGTGTTGTAACCCCAGCAAACCGCTACACACAAAGGTCAACTGAATTTGACGCAACTGCGCATGGCATAGAGGCCATCTTCTGTTCTCATTACAGTATCTGAATTAACGGAATCACAACTCCCCTTTTGTCCAGGTAATGAATCTCCGTCTGGCTGGAGATCCTGAGCTCTTGCAGCATTGAGGGTCAAAGACCAAGGCTTGGAAAAACATTTAAGTACTCAAAGAAGTTGCTCGTAGATTTCCTAGTAGTAAGGCCAGGAGCCCCTAGTAGCTTCTTGTTCCTAGTAGGATCCAAAGGTTCAGTATGCAGTCGCACCAGGCTCCGTGCAGCAGCAATGCACTTCAAAACAGCCGGCATGGCAGCCTGCACACAGGTCGGCGCAATTTGTAGATTATGTAGACTGATTGGGATGTATTCCGAGTGCACTTCGTGTATCCAACATGATAATACGAGAAACTTGCTAACGAGGCATGCAGCATGCAAGTATCAGTATGACTGAGTCTGACTGAGGCTCTGATTTGTGGCATCCATGCACTTGCTGGAAGACATACAGTACTTTTGCAGACAGATCTGTTTTACTTCTATAGAACGGATTTCCTACAAAACAGGAGCGACAGTGTTAGCTCAACAACCGTTTGTGTACAGTAAATGTCCACAGGTTCCGCTACAACAAGAATTGTGTTTTTGTCACAGCCCTGGGGAAATAGTATATACAAGTATATATGTACAAGTACAGTACATTGATTGAGGCACCTATGATGATCAACGTGGTCCTCAACAAATAAACACCCACACGAAAACCTGCACTGGTGTTCCCGTCCAGTTGACCAGCGGCCTTGACAATCTTCAGCTCATCCAATGCCGCTCTGGCATCCAGTCGCAAGGTAGCAGTCTGGCTGGATGCATTGCACTTGATAAGATCGGATAGCTTTGGTAGCTGTCTGCCCAGTAGACTAGACTTACAGGCGGATCTAATAGACACGGAACATGAATGCATGATTCATAGACAGCATTGCACACATCATGCAGCTTTCCTCCCGGCAGTCGCTTTCAAGCAGGTAGAATCCCAGCTCCTGAAGGATCACTTAAGAACCACTGAACATGCAGCTACTGAGATGCTGTGAGTGTTGGGGAGTATTTGCATGTGAGTCCTGCAAAATGTGCACCTGGAATCTCCGCGCCCACCTTTGAGATTCTGCACTTTCCATCAGCCTCAGCTTTGACTTCATCTCTTGACCCTTTGTCAACTTCTGTCTCAAAGCTCCAACTCTGTGACTGCGGCTTCTGTGCTCGTTCAACCTACAACATTGGCATGGGAGTGGGAGAAGGACAATCTACAGTACTTTCATTCTCTGGCATCTACCGTGTCCAAGAAACATTCCCTACTTCTTTGCTAGTAGCCTGAGAGCTCCCCACAAACCAACATCTACAGAAGAGCAGCTGCTCTCTAGCCAGCGGTCTTTTCAATGGATATGTATATATATATATTAATATGGTATCTATTCTCGTTGCATTATGTTAAATACTATTGGATGGCACCATTGGCTAATGCTGCCTTTATTATTGTGCTTCCAACACCACTCTGCGGCTGAATGCTACAAAACCAGAATCCATTAGTCATGATCATCAGCCTTACGACACATGAACAGGAGTCAAGAAATTGTTCATGCGATGTCCGACTCTCAAATGTCGGACATGGATTTGCATATGTTGGCATCAATCATTCCATATCATTCCTATCTTGTAACCATTCGTCGCACGACCGGCAGTCCATTGCTCCATTGCATTTCAAGTCAACGTGGCAGTGCTCAGGGCGGTGGCCTCTCCCTTCCACAGTTTGGCCACATCCTGGATCTTGATCAAACCCTGTCGGCAAAGGATCGATCACACATGGAGGCAAGTTTACCCAAGGCAACAAATTAACGCATAGGATAGAACAAAAACAAAGAAATGGAACGACACTTGGATTGATGTAACAGTTTAATATGCCTGCTCCAGCAGCAGCGCAAAGAGTTGTGCACGGAAGGCCCAAGGTGCCTCTCAACTGAACAGTGTGGCCTCTGACACGGTGACAAACTGGCTACATGCTCAAAGCACATCACTTGTAAACATCAACGGGCAAAGCTGCATGTACCAGAAAGCCAAGGCTCCAAATTACAGGGATCCCCAATTGAATAGTCACTCGATTTGTTCAAAAGTATGTTTTGGATGTTTATGGGATCTCTACACAGGAAATTTGTTGAAAGATGTTGAAAGGGATCTGTGATTTTGTCCATATGTAAATGGCTTAGCCTGTGATCCTTGTTTGCTTGTATACACAAGGATTCGTGAGACTGTGGACCATTCCTTTGCCATTCCTTTTGGTACTTGGGTAGTTGCCAAGGTTCGACAGTTTCTCTTTTTATTCATGAGGCTAGGTTCATAAAATAGAGTACAGTAGAGGGGTTGGGAAGGGCCTGGTGCAAATACGAAAGGAACATGCATAAGTATAAGCTCTGAACCCTAAACCCCCCTTCCCCCAACCCTACAAGTCTGATGCGGCCACACGCAATTCTTCATACCAGGGACCAGGGATCCGCCGCTTCGATCGCCGGCGCACCACTCCAGCTGCGCGTAGTGACTCATCAATCAGAGGTCAACCCAAGCACTGGGTCCGGGTCAATCCAGCCACCAAAGGGGGTCAATCCGAGCATCGGTCTCGGCAAGGGGGACTCGCCAAGGATATTTTTTCGCAGCTTCGCCGCTCCGGTCGGTTTCTCACAGCTTTGCAGCATTGCGTCTTCTCGCAACTCCAGTCATAGTTTCCTGACCTTCCCGCTACCCCCCGGCACGATGAACAATTAAAGCCATAGCTGCCATAGCTGGAGGCGAAGATTCACCCAAAACCTAACGGAAACAACCGGTCCATGCCAACCTCCAAGTGTGGGTAGGTCTGCAAAAGCTTGAGAGCTAAGTTCCATTCCTGAGCTTCGCATGATGCTGAGAGTACTGATCAATGATTCATCCTGAATCTGAGGGTACATCTGGGCCGATTTCGGGCGCTGGGTCCACGGCTTCAGTGAAAGCTTCAACACCAAATGGCTGAAGATCTTCCATGCCCTCTGAAGCGAAGGAAGTCGTGCTTGCATTTTTTCATGGCAAAACATCTCCATACTCCACACCAATCACTGGGTGCAAATAAGCCGTCTTCAAATTCTGGCATTTTCTCGCTTTTGATCTGATTATTCACCAGTGGATCATCAAGAGCTGCACTTGGCATGCTGAGGAAAAGCTTGGTTGCACAACTTATCTCACATTTCTCGCCTGCAGTGTAATAGCAGCCTTTGCTGCGTGTCCCATGTGTCGCTGTAAACGCACCAACCTAAGGCTGATGCTAGCCACAGAAGGATGATCAAGGCTTGACAGCTGCTGACAATCAAGCAACTAAGTAGCCTCTTGTATACCGCCGAAGTCGACCAAAGTCGCCACCGGACATTCTCTTGTTTTGTCATGTTTTGATGTTTGCCGGTTTGCGGTGTCTAGTCATGAGTTGTCTGTAGTCATTATATAGTTGGCATTAGCGTAAGTTCTGTGCCGGTGATGGAAAAGACCATAGTGAGAAGGTGTTGTAAACGCCTCAGCGATGAAGACCATGACCGTTACTTCGGTCTTGGACGGGGTAGGACAAGAATGGTACCAGCTGAGACCTTTACCAGCTCGGGGAAGTCCATGGCCGGCCCCTTGAGTAGGATGTTCCATATATCGCAGTTGCGCAACAACCCACAAACAAATGCACATTGAAACGAAACGTGAATTGGCTGATGTATCAAACTAGCCAAGGCATGAGGTTGACGGTGTCTTTACCAAGCCTCAATTGACTGCCGATCCAACCTCAAGTTGGGCAAAAGCAAAAATTCAAGAACCCTACAAACTCATCACAGAACTTTACATACGTAACTATCAAACCTGTTGTGCTCATATCTCTGACACAAGCATCAATGCCAAATACTGCCATCCTCATTTGCCCTCCAATTTGTCTGGTGTGCTGCACTCCAAGCGCTGGACCATGCCCAATGATTCCAGGCATAGTAGTGATGATCATACCTCACAAGGCACTTCGACAACGACATGTCAGGAAAGGTAGAGATCAAACGGGACAGTGACATGATCAAAATCGTGTCCAAAAGGAAAAAAGAAATAACCTAGAAGAAAGTGAAAGCACAAAACATAAACATCTCTGAATTGGTTAGAAGTCCAAAAGGAAAGAAAACACATCCGAAGGGCCACAACCTCGACTCGACTCGGCTCCAAGATGCTCAAACCCTTCAAGCTTCAAGCTGGGCACCACTACCTCTTGGCCAGCTCTTCCACCAATGCCAACTCCTTGCCGCAAAAACGTTGGAGACTAAGACCACGAGTGCTTTTTGCGCTTCCAAGATATTCCATTTCCATCCAATTCCCAGGCATGCCCAAACTCTGTAGTCTGTCCTGTGAGAGCAGTCTTTGTCTCTCATCTTCCTGACCGACATCCAATGCTACAAGTTGCCAAATATTGACAATTTCCTGGGATTGCCTGCTCAAGAGCCTTGCTGAGAAGTCTTCGCCTTTGTGACCATGTCTCGCCTGATGCAGATTGATTGGATGCATCTGGTCCCCCATGAACGTCTCAGAAATCGAAACTGCACTTTGGGTGGTTGTGTAATTATGGGCAAATTGGAAGATCTGGCGAATCTGCGTTTGCATCGACAGCACAAAATCCAAACATTTGTCTGGCGAACAATGCGGGACATGCTTCAAGGCTTCCCGGCCACTCTTGTGATTCGTTCTAAGCAAAAGAGCGCTGAAAAGCAACTCCGCCTTGCGCCCGTAAGGTCTGCATTATTTGCACACGTTCCTCCTCTGGGTTTCAAGAAGCATCATGTTGAATCCTTTGTTGTCTAGTTGTCCCAATGTCGCTATGGGACACAATCTTCTGCCCAAGTCGTGCGATCAAACACACAAAATGGGTATCAACCATGCTCTAGCCTCGAGGTCCAAATGTGCAAGAAGCTGTTCCCGGCAGTCCCACGCTCCTTGACAGGAACAAAGAATGAAACTACTAGTAGCTTCTTGTTACAGTAGCGATGACAGGAGCCCCTAGTAGTGTCCTTGATCCTAGTAGTAAGGCCAAGAGTCCCTAGTAGCTTCTTGTTAAGCTAAAACATCGTTCAGTGGCTTCTAAAAGCTTGGAACAAAACCTAGCAAGAAACTTGAGACTTTCCCGGTGAGCACAGCTTGTGACAAGCAATGTCTTCTGAACAAGCACCGCCCTGCTGAAGACAATTTCACCGACTTTACTTTGACTGACACAAGTCATTTGCATCTGTGCACGAGTCTTCTTCCTCCCAACATGCAGGCTTGCTAAGCCAACACGGTGGCTTGCTAAGGATTCGGCTCACACAGTCTGCGCTGCAAAGCAAGACCGCCCTGGAGCTTTCAAGTGCTGCTTGCACCTCACAAAAGTGTCAGAAAGTAAAACGCCTCGCTGCAGGTTGCAATAGATATGCATCATGATATCAGAATCAACTCCACTCTGTGCTCCCCCATTGGAGTCTAAGAGCACAACTTGACCGTGCGCCATAGCCTTCTGCATAACCTGCCACTGCAAGGATTTGGGGTGTCTGAGATTGGTGTGCCAGCATTCTCTTGCAAATCAGCAGTGACACCTCAAAGAGATATAGAGTCTAGAGTCACGTTCTTGCTCAAGCACAACGTAGTGACAATGCCCTGCCTGGTAGGCATGCAAGTACAACAGCAAAGCTCCCTGACAAGTTAAGCAGTAGTTTGAGTGTAGATAGCAAACTGGACTGGAAATAATCAAAAGCCAAACCGGTCAAATCTGAGCAAGTCATGTACTTGCTCTTAACAACTGTCAAATGCTTCTGCATGTACTTTGCCATTAAATGGGGGATTAACTTTGATGGTGATTATATAATCCAAATTGGCTTTGATGGTGGCTCGTGTAAAGTCAGCCTTAGCGACAGTCTTAATGAGAGCCTCAATAGAAATGGCTAGCTTCTGCTGGGCAGCGATGCATCCGAGGTCCTGACCAATCAAACATTCGAACGCATCTCATTTGAAACCTGGGTTCAATTGCAGAACCAAACTAAAAGACGTGGTCTAGACATTGTCCCAAGCAATGACAAATGATTACAAATGATGATGTCATCGCTGACAGTTGTTGACGGTCGTCCACTGAACAAATTTTGCGCCTCTGTTCCTGCAGCACCAAAGAGCTCTGGGCATGCAGCCGGCACCAAGGCATACCTCAAGTTCTTTGACTTTGGGAACTGTCTGTGATCTTCTTGATCTTCTTTGTCTGATGACGTCTCCCGTTCAAGACCCGACGTGCACGCAATGCCAAGAAACTCATCAATGCCTGGATCCTCCCGAAAGGCTGCATTCAGCCGCTCCAGCAGCAAAGCCATGTCACGTTGTAATATACACAGCAAGCCTTGTTCTATGGCTACACCAAGTACTGATAGGCCTTGTTCTCAATCAAATGAAAGCTTTCCTGTCTAAAAGCAAGGGATAGTGAAGTCCATTCCCTGGGAAAAAGGAGTGGTCGCAAACAAAACAGTAAAGCAGCAGTATGCACGTCTCCACCCCCCACGGCTACCCCCTGTGTAAAAACAGAAAAGCAAGATAGGTCAGAAAGAATGAACAGGAACAGAAAAGAATGCTTCTTTTCATTTCCTTGTTTCTATAGGGATCCTTGTAGTGAAATCCATGTCCCTTGGCCCTGACCTTCCATATGTCATTGTTCCCCTCAAGCTGCGCTCAAGCCAAACTCAGGAGTCTCGACATCGCATGTAACCAACCTACACAAACCTGGCAGGCAACACATGCCACTACAAGCATCCAATTAATACAATTAAACACAACCACAAAAATTCAGAAACATCATGAAACATCTTGGTCAGTTCCAAGCCAGCTCTAGCATCATGTCTCTGCTCCAACTTATGCCGTTCATTTTTGATGCCCTGGTGGTTGCGAGATAGAGATCGCGAGCTTGCCACAAAACTTGGAACAATGGCACATAAGGAAACCTCGTCCATTGTTGTTGCTTAATATTCTTTGTACTTCCATGTTGCTCAAATTGTCCGAATTGGTTTTGCAGCATGATAAACTGGAATCTCGTCTCATGTGGTGGCCACACATTGTCAGCCAACAAAGAGTTCTACTCCCAAGGAGACTACGTGAGCTATGTACATGTAGCAAATTCAGCTAGGGTCCTTTATAGAGGAACCTGCGACCCGAACAAAGCATTTGCAAACGTTTGCTCTCTAAGCTGATCCAGAATGACAGGACATCCCGCCTCTTCTCCACTGAATGGCACATCAAGACCTCTCTTGAGAAAAGGCCTTCCTGACACAAGAAGAAGCACTAGGAAGCACCGCAAGAAAAAACACATTACAAAAACAAGGTACACAATGCACAGGTTAACATAAGGCATGGCTTTTGTAGTTGCAGCTGCCCGCTGAGTGTTTTGGCCCGGGGTTGTCATTCTCGTTGGCGATTTTGACATAAAGCTAATCAATTTATATATTCACTTTGCACAAGGCACCATTGTTGAGCATCATGCGCAGCTTCAGCCAGGCCTGACCACTGGCCGAGCTCCACATGAATCCGAAGCGACAACTGTATTGAGATGTTCACATTGACATGATGTTGCACATGATGCTGACATTGTGCAAAGGAGGCAGTTGCTCGCCAAAACCAAGCATGTCATATTTTGTTTGGATTTTGCGTGCCTTCCGGCCATCTTCGCTCTGGAAATAGAAGTACACCTGGCTGAAATGGCTACCGTGGGAGCATGATTCGCCAACCCCCCAAATTTTGGGAATTCAACTGTTGAGCCAAAAAGGGGCAAAGGCAGTGCGAACTTACCGCCAAGTTCATGCCGGCAACGCAGCAAGAATCAACAAAGCCACGAAAAGGATGACCTTGAGACTTGAGGCTTGCTTCAAGGAGAGTTTCTCCAAGAACGTGAACAGCCGCTGTTGAATGCTATGACTATGAAATATCAACGACTGAAGACTGAAGCATGAACAGAATGGTCTACAGAGGAGGTGTGATCCCCACATCGATGAACTATGGACTTTAAGCCACTTGAGCCTTGACAATTGAAGCTTTATAATAAATGATCGAAAACTCCCAGCAACGCTTTCAATCTAGACTCCAAGATCATGAGTCGTCAGTGCCACCAAAAATTGGAATAGATTTTGAAGCTACAACTATTTCGTTCTTGGCGGGTATGCATTTTGCATTCGTAGTGTGTTCACGACCTCTCCACTAATGCTGCAAGTACAAGGACCTATACATTTCAGTGCAACCACCTCTAGGACTCCGCACGCTGAAACTTGGCCAATGACTCTCGACTTTGGGCTTTGACGAGTTCGAGATTTTGTCTGACATCTGGCCGGTTATATGAGCGGAGTTCAATCAACGCCAGGGTCTCTTGAAAGACAAGCTTTGTATTGTGATGAGTAGTTGTCATGCTTGCTGATCCCCCTTGGTACCGCCAGCTAAGGTAGATCCCCAGGATTTCCAGGATTTTACGTATTAAAATCCTACCGAACCAAGGTGACTTTCTAGTTTTTCAGGGGTGCCCTAGTTTTTGTTTCTCAAGAGTTGTCTTTAGAACAATCCTATGGACCAACGTGCCCCAGAGGGTTGGGAACCAAGGAAAAAAACAATGAGTCCGGGCTGATCAAATCCTACATTAAACTATCAGAATCTCTAACTTGTGAAATCCTGCAGCTTTAGTGAAATCCTGTAGTCTAACGTGTTTTGGGAATCCTGGCGCCTACATGTCTTGATACCTTGGGCACCAGGATTGTTCAAAGCTCCATTTCTGCTGTAATTTCCTAGGGCCCTACCTGACTTACTTTTTTTGAGATTTTTACTGAACTATACTGAACCTCGTGTTATTTTTTCTGAAACCTGGTGGTCTACCCGTAGGATTGCAGTTTTGCGAAACCAACGGGGATCTCACTGCTTCAATCAATACACAGCTCTCAAGAATGCCTGACTGAGAAGTGACTCAATCTTGTCCGCATCCTGGGCCAACTGATCCTGAGGCAGTACCACAAAAACACAATAGCCAGGATTGCATACAAATTCCCTAAATAGCTCAAATCCAAAAAAATGTGCGGATATGCTACTGCAATCTACTGTATGTCCACAAGTCCGCATAGGCACAGGTTTGATGCTTCTAGACATTGACACAGCTTGCTAAGACCAATCCTCCGCCTGCTTCTCAGCTTGCTGTATTGCTGACACCATTGAGGGTGCCTGTCAAGCAGCGAAGATTTCGTATTTTTGGTGCTTAAAATTATCTGCCCCGATGGCCTTAGCAGTGCCAAAAAGCACACCGTCCCGAATGTTGAAAGAGTTGGCCATCTCATTCAGCACTCCACCCACCACCAACCAACACTTTGTTTATCTTTGTTTAGAGTCAGAGCCATTCGAGCTCGAAGCTGGAAGGGATGCTCAATCCTTCTAGCTACTACAGTAGCTACGGCAGCTGCGACTCCAGCTCATGGGATTCAGATGAAGACTCGGTGGATGGAAATGCAAATTACCAGAGGGCGCAGCGAGAGATGATTCGTGGCAGAACATATGTTTGAGTCTAGTTTCCTTTTGCCCTTCCTTGCCTGGGTTCCTTGCCATGTGCTGCCCTTACCTTCCCTCAGGTTTTGGAATGTGGCACCCAAAGCCACCCTCACAAAGCAACAGAAGAAACATCTGACAGGGTGGGGCGAGGAGATGCTTCGCAAATCAGGCTTCTTGGTCACATGCTTTACTTATGTTTGACCAGCAGCAAGCACCACCAACCACCATACCCCCCATACGCCCCAGGTGCACTCCCATTGGTGACCGCAATGGCCTCCATGAATGTTGAATGGAAGCTTATGTCAGATTGCTTCTTGTCTTGACTGAATGGCTTCAGTCATATCAGTTGTTCAGCGTTGCATGGAGCTTTTGCAAGGCTGTGGCGCTGTGGGATGCTATTGGGGCCTGAAAGAAGTGATTGGCCAGGCATGATAGTCTGTTTTTACATCAAACTCTCAGTTCAACATGTTTTCCGGCAGGTTACCCTGATCTCGGCGACTGACCGTGCTGTTGCACCTCTGAAGTTCCTGTTGGCAAATGCTCGCCCTCAAAGGCGTTGGTAAATACACACAATTTATTTGCAGCGCATTTTGAAACTTGTGGGTGGATAGCTGAATAGGATAGCCAACTCCTAAGTGTGTCTCAGCAGGCTCTATCTTGGGATGACTGGTCGAAATTATGACGATATGATGGACCCGATCCTTTACTCAGCAGGCTTTCCCTGCACACCGCCACTTGGCAATATCTGGCTGGAGTGGACCAAACATCACAAGACCCATTCCTAGTCCCAAACCGCCCCAGGTACTCAAAGCTGAGACGGGATTCCAAACTCCTGGACGAGAAAGCTGCGGCTGTTTTGGACGACTGCATCAAAGCAATCGCGAGGCACTATAGTCACTGGTGATCGGCAATGATGATTTCTTTTTCCCTAGGAGATTGAAATTCTGTAGGCTGGACCCCTTGGCAGCTGTCATGGAGAACGTCTATGGGGTATTGGATGTATGGGATGATGTACCTTGTCCCTGAAACTTTGTGAAATGCCTATGGAGTAGAAGACCCTCTCAACCCGAATAACTAAGAAGCACCAAGGTGGTGAACAAGTTCCGAGCAGCTGGTATCTTGGACAAGTACTTCATGTGCTACATCAAGATGTGTCCATCCAAGATGGGTGAACCAGTGACTCGTCGTCGAGTCTACATACTCCTGCTCCAGAAGACACTTATATGCACTCAGTAGAAACCATTCACTGCAGTCACTATGAATGCAGACTTTGCTGCGCACCACATGCCGCACTCTAAAAGCTTAGGAAGCTTGCCAAGAGGCGCATCAAAGACAATGACATGTTTGAGGAATATGCCACTGAATCAGTGGAGAAGGTTCATGTGGATGCTGATTGCTGCCCAGTCATTGAAGTGTCCATACCTTATTACTTCAAATTCAATAGAAACAATGCATCCTCAGGCTCTTAGGTGTGTTTTGCCATGTCATGAGTCTTTGCAAGGCCCGACCTGATGCTTGGCAACGACACTGACTATGTGACCCGTGTCTGTCGCAACATCACCAAATCTCTCAAGGCTCCCAAGGAAGAGTCTCTTATTGACTTGAGCAAACCGTTCTGTGGCTGAAGTTGGGGGCATTATGTTTAAACTAGACCACCCATTATGATGAAATTACAGTTGGACATTAGGTCAAAGACTTCCAAACCTCGCTGGGTGAAAAAGCATTTTCTGAAGATGAAGACCGAGAAGGCCATTGTTGTTTTTGCAACCTCTTGAGAATTTTAGATTGCTACAGTGGGGGAGGTGACACCAGATTCCCTCAAGACATGCACAAGCATCCGGCGCTTCTACAATGCCCAGCGGGTTCACCATGCCCAAGCCTCAGCCCACCCATTGAAATTGCAGCATGCCAAGTGACACACTAGGAAACCTGGTCATACTTGTTGGTGGCCTAAGGCTGCCGATATTCACTACACAATGAAGTTTGAGGGCACGCTGAACATGTCACAACAGATTGACAGGATGGGGACAAATCAAGAATGCTCCCCATGTATTACCCCAAAGGCGCAGCTCTTCAACTTTGTGAAGAAGCGGCCATTCACAGGCGTTGACAAGCTGGTATTTCAGGGTTTTCCTGTGGGCAACTTGAAGCTGACTCACCTGACCGAAGAGGAGACTAGTCAGCACAAAATATTCCAGGATACTGTTACTCCATTACAGTCCCACACACAACATAAATGTTGAGAAAATTAGAAAAGATGCCTAGGAGCTACATGTGCTTGGAGGAAATGTGGCTTGGCAACCTGAGCTCCAGGCATCTCTCTTATGTCCACATCGATTCGCTTCCCAAGGCTATGCACTGCAAATGCGTGGCAGCCGCATTCCTGGCAGTGCTCAGCGCAGCTGACATTAAGAGGTTTTGCACAGCTGCCAAGAGGCAGTTTTGAAGCAATAGTCTTCTTATGAAGGGAAAGCAGAACGCTTGAAGCATTTGGCTACCAACAAAAACTGGCTGTGTACTTTCTTCACTTTTTTCTAGAAGCTAATAGCGAAGCTGATACGAAGCATTGAAAACTGTGTGCAACTTGAGCCTCTCCTTGAATTCAAGATTTCAGTTGGCTCAGCTTTCCGGGGGAGAGTGAAAGCAGTGAGAGCTGATGAAACGGTTTGATATGGATGACCAGTCTTCTTCATCCAGCCCTGAGCACAAGAGACAGCGCCTTCGTCCAGGAACCCCAGCTTCAGTGTCAGACCTCAGCGGGACATGCCAACACAGCTGTGTGAAGGGTAGAAGTGACCTCTTACTTGCAAACCTGTCAATGTTTCCTGGGGAGGAATCCTGTGAAAGGGAGGACTCGTGCGCTGCGGTCAACGGCAAAAGCAAGCAAAGAATCCAGCAGCTGTTGAAGGGTAAGCTTTGCAACTGCACCAGGAAGTGCGTGAGCAGTCTCACCTTTCGTTTACTATATGGGCTTTGCGTCTCTTTTTGGAACCTTAGCAAAGCAGCTCAAGATTGCGTTCTTTGGGGGATTCAAAACCTACACAAGGGAGCAGTAGCTGCTTCCCCTGATTCTGAAGAAGAGGATTCGCAACCAGGTTCTGATTGTGAGAGTGATCCAGGGTCTTCTACATCTAGCAGCGGCGACACATCAGATGGAGAGTCAGAGTCTTCTTCGGACTCTGACGAAAAGGTGTTGAACTCATGGTACATACAAGGCAGGGCTAAGGGGTGACACCAAACGAGTTCATAACCTGCGAAACCTACTAATAGTAGTATGCAATTTTGCCCTTGTCCAGGTACACGGGTATGCCGTGAAGCCTTTTGCAAGGCTCTTGGAATCAGTTCATGGAGGCTTGTCCGTACACGGCATACCTTCCAGGGAGAAGATCAAAGAAAATATGGTAGCTTGTTGTCATTATGCAGTGTATATTTAGATTGGTTGGAGATGGAACCACTTTCTCCTACTAGGTAATGCCTTCTCACGAACCTCCCATGCAGCAGCATCAGTGGTATCTTTCTTTGAGAAGATGTATTGGAGTTTGGGAGAGACATTGCCTCACGAGTTTCTTGGCTTCCTCAGTGCATGTATGGTTGGAGTGCATGAATGTCGCATTGCACTTTGGCAGTTGTTAGGTTCAACCCTAAAAAGAGTACAATTGAAAGCAATCTTCTATTAAGGCTCAAGGTGCATGAGAAGGATGCCCATTTGGCCACAGAACCGCAAAGGGAGAAGCTACTGAATCTATTGGTGGATTCAGCCTTGGAATCTGACTTGTCCAAGTCTGTTTTGTGCTTGGGCCCTTCAAGTTTGGTACGGCGGTACCTACCACCGGGTTGTTACTCAGACCTATACCACCTTTATGTCAGCTTTCAGACTTCTCAGAAGTTAAAGAGTGCTTCGCCAACGACTTTCTACAGGGTGCTTCGGACCAGCGGTTGGCGAAAGGTCTTGCGATTTCGAAACGTCAGCCAACACTCAGCCTGTAGCATTTGCTCTCGCCTGAAGGCTCAGCTCAGGCACAGCAAAGATGTTTCTGAGCACGCAAAGGCAGCTGACCTTTTGATGAGACATTTGACAGGACAGTTCTTGGACAGGTCAACCTATTGGGCATACAGAACCCGTGCAAAACGGGACCAGGACATCCTCACCCTAATCACGGACTCCATGGACAAAGGGAAATTCTCTTTGCCTAGGTTTGGTGATGGACGTGTTCCCAAGGACCTACAGCTATTGAATCGACCATCCTGCGAAGTCACAGCCACCATCATCCATGGAAGGTTGATATATGTTGCGATCGCTGATGAGGGAGAGGGTTCTGGGTCTTCATGGGTTCTGGAAGTTGTAAACCGCGCGCTGGACAAAGCATTTGTGCAAGCTCAGCAACGCAAGCTTTCATGGCCAACAACGCTCAAGATCTTTTCAGACAACACTCCAAAAGACTTTTGGCAACCAATGTATGTATGTATGTATGTACGTATATATATATATATACTATATATATATATACATTGAGGAATAGATAAATGTTATCATACCACCTTGTAACAAACCCATCCTAGCTCAGGAGTGCAAGAACGGCATCATGGGATCTTGGTGTTCAGCGACAGTAGCAGCTGGATATTTCCAGCAAATCAGCACAGAACACTTGTGTGTTGGCCACACACACGAGGATGTAGGTAGCGGGGCTTGATTCATTGTGATGGTATTGATTGTACATCCTCTCCCAAGCCTACAATCCACATGTGCAACTAAGATGCATTCTTTGGGCTACTCACCAAATTCATCCGAACTGGAGATGATGGAGTGTGTCTTGGGATTGAACAAACGTGGGTTGCTATGTCCCACCTACTAACTTTAATCCTCCCAGCTGGGGCCTTGACTTAGGCAAACGCCCGAAGACATTGCCCAGCTGCAACCTCAGGATGAACACGACATAGGGCATGTCAACGGCAATCACTGTTGAGGCTGCTCCGCAGCAAGGTGGCGATTCGTATTTCAAGTGGAATACATCAGATCTGTGCGGAACTGGAAAGAGAGCCTTCCACAAGTAACTGCTCTTTCTGGGGCCTATCGCAAACGACACAAGAGGGATGAAGATGTGGTTCCTCACTCGTTCACCTTTATTCAACGATGTCGACCCTTGCTTGGGCAAAACCTCATGTTATTATTTTGATATATTTTTGGATGACCCAAGCCATCCCAAGCCTATCTCACCAAACAAACAATTCCACATTCATATTTGCCAAGACTTGTGATCCAGGTATGCCAAGCACTTTGCTCGAAGAGGCCACGCAAAGATTGCCAAGGAGGTTCAGCCAGAGTGGGTGTGATGTGTTTTGCCTAGTCAAAGCTTTTGTATCGGACGACACCCTATCGCAACCAGCATTGCTGGTACTCCCTGGCCAAAGTGTAGTAGAAGTTGTGGAACCCGCTCTTCGGAAGTTGGGTGAAGCTGATTGCCCAAGACACTTGACACCAGTGAAGGATTCTGCATTCCTTTCAACTGAGTGTTTCAAAACAAACGCCCTATCACAAAACGTCCTTTACAACCGCCCCATGCCAAGAAACTGCCCACTATCTCGATGAGAAGCGCATGGATGACCTCAATGAACTTGCGGACTGCTTGACAGAAGATTACCCTCAATACACACGAGCAGCGCGCTACTTGCACATGTTGGGCGGGCAAGTGGCTAGACCAACCGGAACTCCACCTGTGCTTCAATACATCTTAGCCGGTGCATTTCCGCCTGTGCAGAGAGGTTCACCCAGTCTTCCCCATCCAAAGCCACACAGTGTTCGGCAACTGGGTGTGTCTTTTCAGCGGTTTCACTAGTAAGATGTGGGTCCAACTCTTGTGGCAGAAAAAAGATGCACATGTCTCAGATTGTTTTTGCCCACATTGTGAAGCATAATAGTACAGTGAAATGAATGACGCTGACGCTGCGTGATCTTTTCCTTGGCAGCTCCTGTTTTGGTTTCAAGCATGGCTTCCCCAGTTCCAGCAGTGAAGGCACCAAGCAATCAGCAAGCAATCAGCATGCATTTGCCTTCACTTTCATTCTCAAAAACAACTGGTCAGGAGGAGCCCAAGTCTGAAGACGGGACTCCAGATTCTGCAAAGGTGCAATCTTTGAAGCACCGGCTTCTGGCCACGTTCGAGGAGGCAAGGGATCAAGGGGAACCAAGGGGAACCAAGTGTGTAATCAAACCTGACCAGGTATCTGTGGATCAGAACATTGCGGAGTGGACCTACAACAACCATAGCTTAGATACAGGAAAGCAACTCCAGTTTGCCAAGGCTCAGTCTGAAAACGTAGTGGGTTTCAATTTGGCCATGAATGAAGTAATTGTCAACAACCAAAAGGTTTGTGGTTGAAATCCAAGGCCATGGCTGAAATCTTCTGCATTCCGGAAGTTGCCAAGCACATCCCAGCTGGCCTGGGCCCAGTTTTGAGGTCTGTACCAACGACACAAAGGTTGAACTGCTATCTTCACCCCTGGCACTTAGATTTGAGCGAGGGAGCCAAATATGGAGCCACTGGGAAGTATCCTAGCATGGTGCAGGTTCGCACCCATCTCCCTAGCATTGTGTGGAAGACTTACCAGTCAGAGCGGGAAGCTCTGGACATCAAGTTTGACATGCCACCGGGCGATGACATAGAGTACTTTACTGTGAAGTTCATTGATGGTCACTGTAAGTCTGTCATTTGTCAAGCAGTTCTGGCCCTTGTCATCCACATGCAAACACAGGTGCCTCGATAAAATTTCATGACAATGTGTTCTCTGTCCTGCATGACAAGTGTGCACAGGGGAGAGAATCACACCTACTATCATATGTCTTGAAGCCAAGGGCCTTACCACAGAGGAAATTGCTGGTGATGATGATTTCTGTCGTACGTTGGCTTCTTTGAAGTACATGCGTGCGAACTACACGCCACATCAAGCGCATGAAGCACTCTACGAAACCTTGAGCATCAATCTTAGATTCATGGTGTGACACACTGTGCAATAGGCATACTCTTATGTATATAAAACTAGCACGCATGCACTGAAGGTGTGGCCCATCGAACTTCTGCCAAGCAGAAACCGGGACCGCTTGACTTGGCTCTCGTCTTCAAAGAGGTGGTGAGAGTGAAGAGAGTATCAGGGAACACAGCTTCCATTCGCGAGATCCTCTTTGGATCCATTGCTGAGTATAACCGTCTTTGTACTTCCAAGGCTGGCCCTGTTTGTGAGGGAGCATCCAGCCCTGTTTGTGAGGGACCCAAACAGCGTTGCACAAACCATTGCACCAGGCTTGGAGAATCACCGAGGGCACAAGGAGGCTGCTGTACTCTATTTTGAGATGCCCCGATGAGTTCCTGTCTTTGATGAAGCGAGCGTGTGAAGATTGCACTTGGAGCCAATCAGGCACCGCAGGGATTGAGTTGGCAATTCTAGCTTGAAACACATATTACTATTAGCTTGAAATGAAAGGGTCTTTGCAGAGTTGCATGCAGGCTGCTCCATGTTAATGAAGTTGAAGCAAAAACACTGCAACAGAAAACCAGCCAATCCAAAAGGTCCTGACCCAGAATCTTGTTGGAATCCCATCATGTCAATCATGCACCCTGCAGCTTTTACGGACGAGAACCTCGATGGAGATTGGTTTGTCCCAGGGGGGGACACTTGGTGGCACAGCAGTCACTGACCCCTTCTGGAAGCAGGTCAAGGAGAGGGTTCTTTTGCCAAATTCTGCCCATCACTCTCCCTGCCACCCTGATCCCCCTGAGACCGTCACCACCAAGAAGGTCATCACGTGGGGTGTGCGGGCTGTGGATGAACATCACAGGAAAGCTCCTTCAGGCTCCACTGGTAAGCAGAAGGACTGGGACTGGGCACAGCGACAATATCACAGTCTAACTCTAAGTTTGTTTCTTAATAACTATTGGCTTTCAGACTTCAAAGCACAAACTTGTCTTGCCCTGAGAAAATGGCCCAGCGAGACTCCAGCAAAATGCAAGACTTGCTGGATGTGTGCTGCCTCTGGGAACACATCAAGGACGACATCGCAAGCTACTTTGGCCCAGGGGAGGAGTTGGACAAGATTGAGTCCATGTGGAACCTTGGGCACCTAGGTTGCAACAAAACCACGACATTTCAAGAATGCCAACCCAAACCGATGTATTTTCCAGCCCTCACAGAACAGTTGCTGGAGTACAGTGGTTTTTAAAAACCGCGACATTCTAGCAAGCTCCAAATTGAAGGGAGAGATTATTTTCATGTTTTCAATCTATGAAGAATATCTCTCCCCTCTTCTTCCACAAAAGGAACATCCAACCGCGGCATTCTGGGAATGAAACCCAGCAGTCTCAAACTTACATGGTTTTGTATCTCCCCACTCGTTTTGGCCAAGGTTGAGTACAGTGGTTTTTAAAATCCGCGCTACTCAGCCAGAGCCAAATCCACCAAACAGAACACGACATTGGCCAATGGCCAAGGCAAACCACGACATTCACCCACAGCCAAGCCTGTCAAATCACCACACCAGGTATGGAGAATATTCTTGGGAGCAGCTAAGGAGTTTGGACCCAGAGCTCAAAAGCCATTGCAGGACCATGTCTGCATTCGACTGGAAGCGGCTGAGTTTTGTGCTGGAGGGCAAGGCACTTTGGCAGACCAACAGCTGGAAGCAGCCCAATCGAAAACATCCAGTGCTTTGAAGCGGTCACAAATCAGTGCCTTTGAGCTGTTCAAAACCAACCTTGAACAGGATCAAATCCTGCGCCGTAAATACATCTCTGCAACCAGTGGAGACGAGAGCCGAGCTTGAGCTGCCATTGTGGAGTCTTTGGAGGCTGAGGGATGAAATGGACCTAGTATGAGAAAACAAAGGGCCAAAGGCCTTTGGACCCTAAAAGCAATTCATGGTAAAACTCAAGACTCAGAGTAGACAAACAGCTAACAAGTTGTAAGCTTTGCACAGTTACCACCCAGATCCATGTCCAATCACCTCCCTTTGCAGAAAATGCACGGGATTGCATGGAAGCATGTCAACTCCTTTATCCAAGATGTCGCCCCAACATGGTGCAACTGCCCAACAGCCAAGCAACGGGAGGTTGCAAGCGCCAGCTTCTTGGATTTCAGGGCAAGGCATCATGTTTGACCCTCTTCTTTTGGCTGTGCACGCATCATAGAAAAGATCAACCACCAAGACCGACCAAGACCCAAAGCCATCTAAACCTGTCAGCACTTGTCCCAGGTCCTGATGCAGACACTGACACATCTGGCAGACTGGCAGCACAGCTATTGCCCTGGTTGGAGTCAACGTTGTCTGGGTTGAATGGTGGCATGCGCCGCTATGACAACGAGCTTGTGATTGGGTACATCAACTTCCCAGCGGCTGGTGTTCCCTCATCCTACAAGACTCATTTTTGTCTGAGCCAGGTTACCCAACTTGCTTCTTCCATGACAAAGTCTTTCGTTGCTGTGGTGGTGATGCCAAATCGCGCAGCAGACCTTCGTGCAGGGACCAAGTCGTCTCCTCAAAGTCTACCAAGTGCACTTTTTGTACACCAAGAGAGGTCAAACTAGAGGTCAAGAGGACACAAAAACTGATACAAACGGTAGGTGTCCTTACCGTCTGTATCAGTTTTTGTGTCCTCTTGACCTCTCTGGAAATTTGCGAGTCTGGGGTAGTTTTGGGCATTGAACACTGTAGTGTAGCAAGGTCAGAAGTCAAGGAGGATGAGGATGATGCGGTCAAAAAGGAACATCCAGGCCCTGAAGTTTAAACAAACCGTCTGACCCTTACCAAAATTATATTCACAGTTGTTTGAGAGAACCAATGAACCAAGTGATTCAATGTCAAAGAAACAAGGGGTGTCAATCTTTGTTGGAAGTAGTGTCAACCCCAAAGGTTGGAAAAAGATAGCCTTCAGAATTAAGACTGATTGACAGTAGTTTGAGCTATATGACTTGTAAATTTGAAAGCACAAGCCGAGCGAAGCTAACGCACTCCTGCCCAAAGGTGAAGCTGCACCAGAGGAGGAAGAGGAGGACGAACCAGAAGACAAGCCTGATGGTGAGTCAGTCTTGCGGGACTTTCAATACCAGCTTATGACTCAATACATGGAACGTGCCCGCAACCTCAAGGTGACTCTGTTTGCATTTTGGCTACAGTGCCAAACCCTTACAGCCTGAAAGTGTTGAACCTTCCACTCTCGTTCACTGTGAACCTTTTTCCCCATTCTAGTGGACACTGTCCTTTGCAATGTTTTTTTGGTGTTGAGAATCAGCAACCAAAACACTTATTCAAGCGGTTCCATGCAAGCCCCAATCAAGTTAAACCTAAACCAGGGATGCTGTGAAGGTGTCCAAGATTAGTGTTCCTTTGAGCCAAGAATAGGTCTGTTTTATTTGGGACACCTCCAACAATCAATGTCAACAGGTGAACTTTGTGCTATGGCCTGAAATCATGTTAGGGCATTAGGCTATTGTGTGCAACCCTGGAAGCCAAAAGGTGAAGAAGGGAATGGTGAGCTTCCACCCTGACACCATCTATGGAAACCGCAGTGGCTTCCAGGAAGTTCTCATCATCACGGCCAACGACAAGTCCAATCTGACTTGGAAATCTAAGTTCTTCAAAAGTGGACATGTCCATGGAGTGACCATGCTGGGCAGGCAAGACATGCTCAAAATGCCCAAAGATCCAAGCGGGTTTGGCGGTGAGGGGCGCTTCACACAGGTTCAGGAGATGAAGCAGGCGAATGCCCGCCAAACTTTAAATGGGACAGTAGCAAAATTGCAACTCTTGATTCTTGAAGGAAACAACCACATGCAAGAACCCCTTGTTTTGGTCAGCGGTCAAATAACTATACAGTTGGAATGATCTATGCCAATTCTCTCGCAATAGGGTTTTGCAGTTGCATTCAAAACCTTCCCTGCAGCACTGCGGCGGCGCAAGCTTCGTATCGACCATCGTTGAGGGCCTGACACCACAAGCGATGAAGCCAGCGACTGTTCTCCTGGATATGCTTGGGTTTGATGGGTGGTGTGGCACCCATACCCTGCAACAGGTGGCAATTGGCAATTCAGCAAGCAACAACATGCTCTTTTGCCTTGTGTTCTGTTTGAACCCTGCCATGCCCTCACATGTCTTCAGAACTTTAAAATCTATTTTGTTATATTTTTATCTGACCCCAAAGAATGTCGTCAACTACAAATTAGGGGAGCCATGGTTAATCCCTGTTTGCACCAAAAGATTGAAGTTTCATTCACAACCAAGGCAAAAAAAATGGCTGTGGCTACCATCGGGCATACGGCTGGCGAAAGCTCCTTCTGCTCCCAGGTGATTGGCAACAAAGCCTTTGACCTGGCTCGCAACGGGCATCTCAAGATTAGTGGCTTCCCAGACTTCAAGCAGAGTGTGCAGGAGCTCCAGAAGGTTGAGCCACCACCACAGCCGAACTATTCAGTATCAGTACCCTTGGGGCAGGCATTGCTCACCAAGGAGTGCTTGGTGGATGAATGGCAGCAAAAGACGGACTTTTGCAAGGAGTTTGAGGTCTTGCTAGCGGCCCATGACCAAGAATTCAACCCGAAGAAGATCAAGAGGAGTTCTGAAACCCTTGGCCAGAGTCCTTCAGAGCCACCAACCAAAAGGCTTTGTATTCAAGCGGATCCATTGAATTTGAACGAGTTTGAGACAAAGTTCCCCAACAGGCTAGGGCATCCAAACAATCCAATCACACTCAACTCATGTAAGTACCAAAATCTCAATCGTAGATTCTAAGATGATTCAAGCTGTGACAGGCAAGATCTGGCATCTGGCCACTGGACCCTGAGCTTGGCTGATGGCCAGCTCTTCCTTCATTCCAACGAGGACTTCACAGTGCCACAAAATGAAGAGCTTTGCTCATTTGGTTCTGGGGACTATGTGAAAGATGTAGAGGCCAACGATGTCATTTCGGATGCGGATGGGCGATGGGTTCAGTATGACCTCACAGGCCCAGCGGCTGAGTCCCTGGCAATCTTGGAGCACTCGAGGAAACTTCCAGAGCACCTGCGTGACAAAGATTTCTTCAACAAGGCGCCTGCCTACAAACTAACTGGTTTTGCGCGTTGTTTAATTAAATAACCAATGAATCATGCCACCACAAAGAAGCCATACTAGCCACCTGCAGGTCCTACCATGCTCAGAGATCATGCTCAAGTTAGAGAATGAGGGGGAGGTCAACCTGGCTGTGGCAGAGCACAAGACCGCCAAGGACCAGCAAGGCAATGTGTCTTTTCAATCCCTGCAGAAGGTTGCCTTCGTACTTGATCCGATCAAGACCAAGAGTGAGAAGAAGAACAAAAAGGCAGGGCACATGTGATGGTAAGAGCACTGCCGCCTAATGAACATTTGACAAATGGTTGTGAGGTACCTACACGAAGCATGTCTGTATCCATCCATCCAGCCATTTGTTTCCCTTTCCTTCCTTCCCTCCCTCCATCTACCATCTCTTCTTTGGCATCCTTCTAGGCGACAGCAATTTCCTTTGGGGCCAACTTCCCGATGGGCAAACTGCGAGCTCCTTCCAACCGGAACATCAAGATTGTGTGGAGGATGAGGCAAGTTGTGGGCTTCCAAAAGTTATCTTTCATTATCGCTCACTTTCACCCCTCATTGCTGCCCTGAAGCAAGTCAAACCTCTGCCAAACTTATTTGATTCCCTTTCAGGCTTCATGCTGAAAGTTCCACTTCGCGCCAGTTGGTCCCCATTCGCCCTGTGGCGATTCTTGCTGGGTCAGTGAGCTTAAAGAGCAAGAGTGTTCTTCAGCTCTTGTGAGCATGGGATGATCGTTTACCAGCTTTTCTAGGTTCACATATAGGGGTTGACTCATACACAATACAGTGTATGGTCTTTGTGGAGGAACCTTGGGATTATCGGTTGAATGCTGAAACATGATCTCCATCTCTCCTTAACAAATAAAACCTTGTAAGAGCCCCGTCTCTTTGTATTGTAAACAACCAGGGCGGCTCCTCTCAATAGGGTTGTGAATCTGCTCCTCCCTCACCAAATCTGAATCAAATTGGTGAGAAACGGTCACCTGCGTTGAGTTGGAAAAATTGAACCACGTCGCAACTTTGACCATTAAGTAGTTGAACAAACAGCGCCTCAAAGATGTGCAGTCTGTGAAATAACAATTAGTGATGCTCAGCCTGCAGTCCTGGTAGCATTTTGGGGTTCAGTTCTGTTGGAGGGAAAGGCCTTTCGTTTGCCATGACATCTCAATCTTTCGGATTCACACCAAAGTTTGCTGCGTCTGACTACATCGACCTCATCAATGACAGCCAGACTCAGAGTCCCCCACCTCCAGCAGCGAGCCGACCAGCTGCTGCATCCAGCAAGCCAGCGCCTTCACTGACTGCAGGACCCAACATGACTTGAAAGAGAGCTAGGATTTGTATGGGTCATAGTTGTCCAACCATTTGTATGGGATCGTATAGGTATAAAGTCAATCCATGTCCAGGAACTGGGACAAGCCTGCTACGACGCTGCGATGCTTCAGCTTCTGGGAGTACTAGTTCGCCAGACTATGTCAAGAAGACCGATGAGAAAAAAAACAGAAGCCAAGAATGCCGATACCAAGCCACAGAAAGGCACCGAGACAAAAGACTCAAAGAAGAAGAAGAGAGAGAAAAAGACAAAGAAACAAAAGGTTGAAGATGATGAGGGGGATGCATCAGACCCCCCGGAACCAATTGTAGATGATGATGATGATGAAAATTTCGATGGGGACATAGACGTTAGGCTTCAGCCAAGGAAAAAAACCAAGCACTGGGACCAAAACAACACCACGCAGTTCCAAGGGACCCAAGAGCGGTAACAAACATCATAAGAAGAGAGGGAAGAGACATGATTATGCTGAGACTGGCCTGGCAGGGCCAAACCCTATGGATGCTGAAGTGCGCTTGGCCATTGAAAGGGCTGACCAGGCTGAAGCACATGCCCACAGAAGGCTAGCTAGGGGCAAATCAACCTTTGATCTCTTGCGCAGTCAGGAGCTCCATTGCTTCAATCACTAGGCACCTCAATCTCGTTTCCTTATGAGTAGGCTTTTTCAAAGTATGTTCTCTATGAACCCGCTCTTCTAAGAACCTGCTCTTCAAAAAGATTTAAGTACCCTCTATATGACATTACTTGATGCACCAGGAGGATGTCCACATCGAACCGCGCGCTTTGCTTGATTCCTTTGACTCCCAGATGGAGACTGGAGAGGCTTGTACCATCATGCGTTCTAGATTGTGTTTGGATGTAGATGTCCAGGCCCTCTCACCCGCGTTCAAGTCCAGCCTAATCGATGCATGTTCATCGGCAGGCCATGACACACCTGGGCAAAGCGTTGGAAACCATGAGCATTGAGAATGAGACATGGGCGGACAAGGTTGGCTGGGATTCGTTGAGATGCATGCACCTATGGATTTCCCAAGGATTCCTACCAAGATCTTTTTGGATCCGGAGCAATACTCTACGAGGACAAAAAGTCAAAACATTATTGCGTTTGTCCATCTATGTTATCATGCCTTTGGAGGAGAGTGGTGACAAGGTTTCCGAGTGTACCAGTCCCACTTTGATTTTGGGCCAGGCTGGAAACTTGCTGATTGCGAGTGACATATAATGGGATCAAAGCTGCTTCCATCACAACTGTAGGAGGACCAAGACGACTATGAGTTCAATGGGCAGCCTGCTGACCAACTCCATCCAAAAGAGGAGCTAAGTTTTACTCCATCCAAATGGCCACTGTCTTTTTGTTTTTGCAGGACCCTAAGCCTGTTCCGGAAAACATGGAAGGGAACCTTTCTCTCGAGGAGAATGGATATGGTGCCTGATGGTTGGAAACAGCTAGCTCTTGGCATGACATTGGGATTGGGCGCTGAATGGGTTCAAGGCTGCTTCTAGCGCAATCATGGCAGGACCACTCTTGTCCTAGTCATAGTCCAAGCTAGCCCCTGTTCGTTGTATTTGCAGGACACTGAGGCTGTTCCCAACAACATGGAAGAGGGCCATTACACTCAGGTGTGGGAATCTAGCACCTGGCTGGTAGCTGGAAGTAACTTGCCCTTTTCAATTGTCTTTAGAAGGCAGGTTCAATTTGCTTCCATCAGAACTGTGGGAGGATCTGGACATCGAGTTCAATGAGCAGCCTGCCGACCAACTCCATCCAGCAGCAAAGGAGTTGGGTCTTACAATCCACTCTTCTGGCAGCTGCTTTTTGTTTTTGCAGGACCCTACGACTGTTTTGGACAACGGGGAAGGGGACCTTTCTCTCATGCGCAAGAAGGAGTCTTTGTGGGACTTGCAGGATACAAGGGGGTCCCTCTCCTTGTTGATAAGCTTGATATGTTCATGTGGTGTGAAGTTCTGCAAATGTCAAATTGTAACCAGGACTTCCAGGACTCCCAGGACTTGGCACCTACGCTTGGCAATGAGGCGGCTTGTTTGTGTTTCCCTGAGGGTTGTGCCTAAACCCCACCTACTCGTGATGGCCCATGGACTCATGATGGATAACCCCCAGTGATATGCTAGTGACATAGTGTTTGTTTGTGAGTTCCTGTCTTCAGCCTAACCTTGCCAGGCTGAAGAGATTGAGATGGCTACTCAGCAGGAGGGTGCCAGATTCTTATCTGTTTCCATTGAATCCTACTCTGAACTTGGCTATATATATACATATGAATCCGGCTATATGTTCTTTGTGCAAGGATTCGCCTATCAATATCTGTTCCGATGGCGAAGATGCGAAGTTGACAGCTGGGCTACCGGACACGGCGGGGAGCATGGGAGAGCTGAACTATGAGTGTATAAATACTTACACCAGGATGCATACAGGTATAATAGTAAAGGCCCTATCTTAATGCAATACATGAGAGTTGTGCCAGCTGCTGTCACAGTGGTTTAAATCTGTGCAAAAACTGCAAAACAACGGCTGTAACTGACATGAGCAAATGAAATTATGGATGAAAATGGAAACTGTTTTGTTCAGGCTCATGGCAATGATGGACCTTCCAATGCGTTGGGCCCTCAATGACTTTTATCCTTTTTTGAAGGCTCCACAAGTTTGAGCCCTTTGAATAAGGAAACGGGTGCGCATCGCGATCTCCCAGGGGACGCCTGATGTGCCAACTCCCAAGACTAAGCCTGGTCGCAAGCGAAAGCAGGTGTCTAAGCCCAAGGAGGAAAGCTTGGGTTCCAAGCAGGCAAGATTGGGCTCCAAGCCCAAATCGAAGGCACGGCCAAAGGCCAAGGCTAAGGCTAGCCCAAAGAAAAAAGCTTCTAAGAAGGCTAAGGGATGTGGGAAAGGGCGTGGGCGTGGTGGTAAGTCTGGGGTGATCATGAACTATGAGAATGTCTACAGCCGGGAGTACCACCGCTTGAAACGCAGCGGTGCCACCAATCAGCAGGTGCGGGTGTGTGAGTGCTACATGAAAGTAATTAAAGTAAGTGCCAGCACCCTTCTCCTGTGCTAGGCTGCAACAGCAGCACGTGGGCTGGCTGAGCAGTACAAGAAGAAATGAATAGATGATTTCTGATCAGATTGATATATCTGATATTGGGATTCATTCGGGGCGAAAAAAGATTGCAGGGAGCGTTTGCATGCTGGCTGTGAAAAACCTGTCACTGTGAAAACAGTTTTAGGCTAGAAACCAAGTGCTGGTTCCCAATGGTTCCAGTGCCAGTTGGGGTGACTGGGTCTTTTGATTAAACGCTGGTGCTGTAGTTGTATCGGCTCATCATGCTCATGTCTGGGATGCAAATCACCACCAGTGGACTTGCCAGCAAGCATCCCCCGTGCTATAATGAACATGGTCAATCCATTTTCTTAATTTCTGTCCAATCTCTGAACCTCTGTCAATCATGTGAAGGAGTCTGGCCTGTGTCCAGCTACTACTAGTAGCTTCTCGTCTTGCTAGCTATATCTTACTAATCTTACTACTCGCTTCCTACCCCTCAAAACATATTACAGTAGAAACATATCCTCTCTACAACCTCTTGTTCTCTCCCGCGCTGACCTTGGGCTTCACCCCTGTGAACTTCGCAAGTTGGGAGTCGATGCTTCGCTCCTGAATAGCACGCTAAGGCAACAAAATCACTGAAAATCACAAAGGCATTGGTCAATCTTGCCAAATCTTCCGGATTTAATGCTTCCAGTCTCTCTCCCCCTCTCTCTCTCTTCTGATGCATCTTTTGTCAAATAGTGAACATCGCAGCAGTTTCAAACAGTTACATGCATGTCGCTGACCCATGAACAATGGCGGTCCCGGTCTGCCAGCAAGCCACTGGGTTTCGAGCTAATCACAGCCTTTGTAGAATCAAGCCATGTCACATGTGCCGCATGCGTCACATGCCTAGTGCATTTTTTGTCCCGTTCAAGCAAACTTGTGTACCACTATGCCGATATTTCTTGGCTTCCAATTATGAACTCACGCCGACCCATGCCTGAACTTCCTTCATGGTGGTATGCCTCAAGAGTGAAGTGACTGGGTCCTGCCTTAGGAGGCTGCAAAGTTTGAGCAGCTTGAGCTTTTGGTGCCTGAGAACGATATGAACATGCCAAGTGGTAATGTCCTCGCTGGATTCACCAGTCTACTTGTTTATGTTCACCCGTGTACATTAACTTGGACAGAGAATGGTTTCAAGAATGGACATACACAAACACCTTCAAGAATGATACCGGCTTCTCTCAGCCTGAACAGCGGAATTGAGGCTTTGTATCACCTGAGACGCATGCCCGCGCATCTTATACAGTGCAGAACTGACTGTTGTTTCCAAGGAAAAAGGAACCACAAACCTTCCTGCCCACAGAGTTCAAGAGGAAAACCAATCAATTTTGGGAGTGCCCATCTCCTGTGCTGGGCACATCTGGGCACCCAAAGTCAAGCCGCCTCATGCCCTTTACTTTCATGCCCTTTACTTGCACAGACGGAACATTGAGTTCAAATGATCTCAACCCTCTCAACTCTGCAACTTTGCTCAATCTCTGCAGCTCACCACCTTGCTGGTGGCCAAGAAGGCATCTTTACAATCTCCAGAAAGTTCACTTTCGTACTTCTGCAAGCAGTCCAGAATACCAACCTATAGAGAGCTGCGAGTACAAACGACCCACCCAAGCGCTACACCCACCACATGTTCCAAGTGGACACCAGCTCATTGTGACATTGTGTTTCTCGCTTTTGCAAAGCAGTTCCTGAACATCCACTTACTTTGTGAACAGTTCCTTCAGCCCCGATCTGAGTGAGAGACGTGCAAGACATCACAATGTTTGTCAATAGCTGCACTGCATACAAAGGGAACCTCAGGCCAAGGTTTAGCAGCTACCCTTTACTCTCACGTTTCACGCTTCTTCAGGTCTGTCTGCCGACTTTTTTTGATTTCTGAAACGAACCAGAAATACACGATTCGAGAAAACACAACAGTGTTTAATAATATATATATCTATTCACAGTATATTATCTCTCTTCAAATCAGGCAATCTCTTTGACAGCTTACAAAATAGCTCCACTGCACCATAGACTTCCAGTACCGCTCAGCAGCGCATCATTTCTCAAACCTCCTCTCGCACAGTCTTGGCCTCCGCACAAAAGAGAAA